GAGAGAGGGTGGAAAGGAAGAGACGAAGGAGAAAAATGGGTTTTGGGAGAGATCCGACCGTTGAGGTTTCGCGGGTTGAAGATTAAATGGGCCAGACTGTTCTGTGTGTAGAGATAGAGAGAGAGAGTACTAGATAAGCCCAATTAAATATAGAAAGAAATATTGGGCCGAGTAAAGCCCAAAGATATGATAGTCAACTTACAGGATGTGTTGTTGACCAGCGGGACACGTGGTGTCAGTGATAAACTTGTACGAATCATACGACTCGAAACATCATCGGATCAGGTTACATTAATAATTATTAACTTTTTTAAAAAAAAAATTAATATACCCAATAATATATATTTACCTCATTGATTTTTTAAAATTTAATATAAATGGAAATCTTATTTGCCAGGTGATATACGGGACAACAGATCTGGTTTACATGAGCAATCATACTTCAAAGAAAATCCTAAATTCATACCAATCCTACATCAACATCACTCCTGCTCAAACAGATCAATGGAGGTAAAACCAACATATATACAGAAACACACTTTATTCTGCCGGTGTTTACTTCCCTATTCGCGAATCGCTGACATTTCAAATCCATCTACATTCAATAATAGTAGTTTTAACAGCACAGTTTTGTCTATTTTGTCCTTAAAAATTCTTGAAATGTCTTAAACATGGAACTTAACAAACACACAGTAGTTTTAACAGCACAGTTTTCCCAATTGCAATAATAACCAAAGTTGGCTATCAAATAGTAGTTTTAATAGCATAGCTTTCCATTTCTAAGACATCTACATGCAAGACCAACCCACTTTATTATAAGAAAGCTTTCTTTCTCCAGTTTTTTTAGAAGCCTCAACCCATACGAACATAAGCATTTGGATTGTCTCCATGCTTTGCACAACGTAATATGCGGTCAACAGAGCCACGCATGCTAAATATGCCTTCGGAATCTTGGGTGCCTTTCCCCCCTCCAAAGCAGAGTCTGGTGCTCGTTTCTTTCCCTCTTCTTTCTCCTTCCCCGGTCCCTCGTCCTTCTCCGGTCCCTCGTCCTTCTCCGGCCCTCCGCCCTCCGGCCCTTCGTCGTCTGGCCCCTCGTCCTCTTCTTCATCCTCTTTCATTTTCTTACCCAGGTTTTGGTTCAGAAAAGTCTCATATTCATCTCTCCTTTGCATAAGTTCATCAGTGCAACTTCGCATCACATCAGCCTGCAATCGCATCCGCGTAACTTCCCCTGGTGTCAATTCAGCTTCCTTTAGCGAAAATTCAGCTTCCTTTAGCCCTGATTCAGCTTCCGTTCTCAAAAATTCGGCTACCATTCGCATAGTTTCAGTTTTCTTTCGCATAGATTCAGTTTCCTTTCGCAAAAATTCAGCTTCACTTCGCAAAAGTTCAGCTTCCGCTGGTGTAAATTCAGCTTCCCTTCGCAAAAATTCACGCTTCTTTCCCAAAAATTCACCTTTCTTTCGCATATATTCAGCTCTCATTCGCTGAAATTCCAAAGTTGAACCTGCAAACCAAAAAACAGGAAAATCAGGAAAATAAAATTATGGCAAAATTTTCCCATACTTTATCAAAATTAATCCAAAAGGAATAAAACAAAAGGTATGGTACACATGGATTCAGAACCAAGTCTAGGTCAGGCCAACTTGACATAAATGTATA